AATCAGGTCTTCACAAATGAACAGAAACAAATCCACAAATATTATATTGAGAAAAAAGAGTCTGTAGATTCCCACTACAGAAAATCAGTATCTGTAAAAATTTACTACTTGGAATCTTCCTCCCTAATTATTTACTTTGCTATAGTTCCTCATGACCTGGATAATTTTCACAATGTGGAGAAAATCTCTGAATGGCCCATGAGTACCAAAATTTGGGGATCTGCTATGGTTGCTCCCATGTGAAAATAAAGAAATATCATGATTACCACAAACTATGTCTGAGCCCAAAAACTTAACTTTATCAAGAGGATTCCTAAATATACTAGTGCCAGGAAAGCCTATCTGTTTGGTTTTATGGGGAGTTGGGGTGGGAGAGTGCATTTCTTTCATAAAAAACAGAAACTTCAAATCAACATCATATGTACTCTAATTATAAAAAAATTCTAGGAATGATCTTAAATTTCTTTTAATAATATAAATCTATACATGATTTATAACATTTTGTTGATTAGAAACCAGTGAGAAAATGTACAGATATGCCCTTTGATAATCTTTATTAGAAAAATGAGCATTTAAGCAAACAAACAAACAAACAAAAAAACCCCCAACCATCTTAACATTAATATAGATTTTACTTTATAAAGAATTTTTACAAACACTATCTCATTTGAATGGTAATATGGGAGATGATGAAGAGATTTTAAAAAACCAAAATAAAATCCCATCTTCAGAAATAATTTATTCAGTGTTGTCTCAGGATAACTAAATGCAGAATATTAATGTATATTACTTGAAAAAGTCAGCACATAATTTCATAATAAAACTAACATTATATATATACACACACACACACACACACACACACACACTTTTCTATGTATTAAATTGAAAAAGAGTCTCTGAATTTAAGAATAACTTTGGGAATACCTTTCTCCTGCAGGGGCTACTCTTTAATGTCATACTAAATTATGCAATTTCTAATATATGGAGAAAATATGAATTATAGAATTATCTAAGACTTTTCTTTTTAGTGAACAAGTTATTCTGGAAGAGTATAAATCCGTAATGTATTTGTCAGTAAACATTTGAAGGGACAGAAAATCCTCCAAATAATTTCCCCATAAAATGTTTTAAAATACTGTATATTATTTCAACTGCAAATTTTATGTGACCAGTGCTTTGCCGATTCCTAATTAATTATATTATGTCTAAGCCTTTAAGGAGCTTGTAGTCTAACATAACACCATAGATAAGAAAAATATATAATGTTGTGATAAGCAGTCCATGATTTAAGTTAACAAAATATATTTCACATAAATACATTTTTATAAGATGGAAGAAGCACTTGGTCAAAAGCCCTGGTTCTCAGGTTGGATAAACCTAGTGTGAATACCAGTTCCTTTACTATTTTGGACAAGTTACTTAGCCTTTTTCTCTGCCTCAAAAACAATCTATAAAAATAGGATAATAATGCTCATAAATGTATGGATAAAATGTGTGGATTGGGTTATTTTGCTTGCTTGTTTTTCTTTGGGGATGGTAACATATGGCATATTGTGACCTTTCTTCCTATAGTTAACTTTTTAAGGTCACACAGGTAGTACACAGTAATTCTAGGATCATCCTATCAGGCATACATTCATCCTCAAAAATGTTAGCTAATATTACCACCATCACCATTATTATCGAACATGTTCTGAAGATAGAACTTCTGTTTTGTGTGTATGCGTGTGTGTAGGTGGCGGGCAGGGAGCAAGTGAGATGTATCAATACATAAAAGTTTATTATAATAAGCAGAAAGGCCTCTTGGAAGGATGGAACAGAAACCTTCAACCTCTTCTTCTAACATTTTTTTTCTGTTGCATGGGAGAAATTTTTCATTTTATTTTTTCACATTCATAAACACTTTTAAAATTTATTAAAAATATATTTTAAGGTAAAGCCTCAAACAGCTTTAAAAATGAAAAGGATTCATGAAATAAGATTATTTCACTATGACAGAAAGTCTGGTATCCTGAGATGTCAGTCTGGAAATAAATGGAAGCAATGTCTAGCCTTCCTTCTCAAGGCAGAGTCTGAAGGAGGGCTCAGAAGACGACAGAAACCTTGAATATAGCAAACAGAGGTTTCAATCTCTTGGATTTTGAAAAATTACTAAAACCTGCGTGGAAACTCTAAGAAAAAAAATGGGGGAAAAAAAGAACGGAAGAAAAAACAATTCTGAAGGCCTACCCAATACCATCAGAACAACAAAAAAAAGATAGGTCTACTGTTCCAAATGTTCTGTCTGGAGATGTTAATTACAAATATAACAGAATGAGCTGAAATATGGGAACCCAGGCTAATTGTGAAGTACAACTCTTGGTTTATTATTATTGGGTTATTTTGCTTATTTGTTTTTGTTTGGGGATGGTAACATATGGCATATTGTGACCTTTCTCCTACAGCTAGTACACAGTAATTCCAGGATTCAAATCTATATTTGCCAGACTCCAGAATCTAATACTGAAGCACTAACCAATACAACATTACTCTGTCTTTTGACAGTCCATGAGCAAAAAGAGGAATTCATATTTGTCTTTTAATAGGTAAGAGACAGACGATACACTAAGAGGTGATTTACGGGAAGTGTTTTCTAACAACTGTTAGAAAAGAGAATTAACACAAAATCAAATCCTAAAACACCATGAACTAAGGACAGTATAGTCTCAAGCAAGGTACTTAATTTTAATCTAAACCAATTTCCTCTTCTGTAAAACCATACTTTCCATACTTTTCAGGATGCCAGAGAGCTAATAAAACTCATAGTACACTTATCCTATCATCATCACACCTTAACATTTTGATATTAATATTGAAGATTAAGACAACAATGGATGCTTAAATGGTAAAATTACTAAATTTAGGCTCAAAACTCAATATTACTAAATGATACTGAAGAATGAATCAGGAAACATCTCTCTCCCTATCCCTGGGTATTAAGGAAAAAGTAAAACTTTGCTGATATATATCTGGTGATAGCATTGGAAATCTCTCCCTCCTATGTTAGTTGAATATTATTTTCAGAGTTTATATTTTACTTAAAAATTCACTGATGTGCTGCTTTGTTGGCACATATCACTTTACTTTTGTGCAATAAATAATTATTAATAATAATAATTTCTTTGTCTATGAATCAATGATCTCTAGAAATAAGAAAGGGAAAGTCTGTGCAATATATTTGCAACCATGCAGTTGAATCCTTCTTCCAGGAACTTAAAAATTACCAAAAATGTGTAATCTTAACTTAAAGCCCATTGTTCTAAGAAAGATTTATCTAACCAATTTTCAATGAGGCAAAAAAATCAACAATATATGAAAGAAATATATGCTTCATGCATTCATCTTTACTCAAAAGAGAAGATAAAAATGGGAATTTCTGCTGGACTTTACTGAGGAAGGTGAGCAAAATAAAAATGATTTAATTAAAACACACACAAAAAAACTAGTCTTAAATCTAAATCAACTGATTAAGACTTCAAAAGGTCAGCTCATTAAAAATACAGAAATGAGTTCTACTTAATAACATCTTTAATCACCAGTAAAAGGACTGGCTCTGATTAAATATATGAAAATAGTCCACTCTCCTCCTTATATGTACATTTAGTTACTCTCACTTAATGTAAAACACTTATTCCAGAAACAACATGGTATAATTTATTGAATTTAGTTTGACTTCAACACCCTCGCTCTTTCCACCATGCCATAAATAGGGATATATAGTCACTTTGGTAAATAACATTATATGTCATTTATTCCTTACTGTAACTTTAGGCAGAAATACCACCCTTGACAACTTAGAATACACATGAAGAGGTTAGTTAATTCCATGCCCAATGTCACAAGTGGCAGAAGCTCCTATGTTTCAATCCAGGTCAGCCTGGCTCCAAATCACTGAGATTCTGGAATTCTGAGTTCATTATCTCTTTTAAATAATATAAAAAATGGTTCTCATTTTTCCATGTTTATTCTCTTTTCTGTAGTAATAATACCAAGATAATTAAGACTTAGAAATTTTAAATTTAAATCAATATAGTACTCAACCTAAAAAAAAAGAAATTCATCATAGTCAAGTTTTCTTTATGTTGAGGACGACTCATAATAAATCAATAAAGAAAACAAATGATAAATATCAAGAAGATGTGCATATGGCATTTTAGACCAGACGGGTTTTTCTTGTTTTGTAGTACTTATGTGCTATGACTGATAAAAATAACCAAAACAGGTGTTTCAACTAGAAGTCTGTGAAACCCATTGGAGCAAGTACAGACAAGAATGTGAACAGGCATAAAGTTCTCTTAAGTCACACTTAAGAATGGCATGGTGATTTTAGAACTTTACTTATATCTTGTTTTATTGTATTACTGAATTAGCTAATAAGGCAGAGTTATTAATATCAATGTGTTTCTTTAGTCTGCTTACCATTTACTAATAGCAATAGTCAAAGATTAGTTTTAAATTATAATAATGTGGCTTACATAATTATATCAAAAAACTTTTTGTATGATTATCATTAAATAGCTTTGTATTTATAAAGATTAAATAATTTTCAAATGTTTGCATTAAGAACCTACCCAAATGGTTTAATGTGACTTAAAAAATTAACATTAAAGCTTTTACATATTACAGTTTTACAATCTAATGTTATTTCAAAAATCCTTTTTCCTTAGATCATTTAAAAAGGTATTTATTATAAAGCCAATCCCAACATAAAAATTAAGGTATGCTTAGTGAAATAGGATATATTTTGTTTCAATCAACAATGAAAAATATTCATTCTAACAAAACCTTAGTGTAAATCAAAATTAGAAATGAAATTAATTCAAAAATTTACATCTGTACTATTTCAGTCTTTATAGCTCATATAATGCTCAAGTTTTAAATAATAGCATATCAAGATTGCTTTAAAGAAGTTATCACCAGGATTAATCCTCCATGAACAATAAATACAGAGCTCTTACCTTGTGCTGTTCTATGGCATCTATCCACTGCTGTCTATGATCTGGGTCCTGAGCACGAAGATACCAGACACTATCATTTACACTAATATCAAATCGACATTCATCAAAATCATGAGGCTGTGGAGAAAACGAAGAAAATGAAAAGCAAAACTAGCTATATTCTTAAAAGTACTATATCCTATAGCAAAAACATAAACATCCTCATTCTGTGCTGCTGGGAGACTTGTTATTCGTTAATTTTTTTTCTCAAATAACTTCTTTAAAGATGTTTCAGATAACAGAAAACATGTCATAGTTACCAAGTCCAAGTTTCATTCACTATTCCTACAAATGACTTGACACATAAACCATGAACAACTATTTTAAAAACAAAATTAACATTGTTCATCAAATACTTCAAGTTAGCTTAATTAGTAGGAACACGTCCAAAAGCACAATTTTTGAAAGGGACAAAAGTAAGTTTCAGAAAGACATTTACTATCTTTTTCCTTACTTTATTATTCAAAAGTAAATTCCCATTAGGAATAACTTTATTTTATTAAATATTATAAAATTTAACAAAACAAGATAAAATAGTTTTAATACTTCTCCCATAATATCTAAAATTAAATGCTAGGCTTTTATATGTCTTTGACAGTGACAGCCAGAAAAGCTTCCAAAGAAGAGCAAAAATAAAATGAACATTACAAGACCTATGTGAGAAAGCCAGAGGAAACTCTCTGCACCACAGTAGAAGCATCCAGTGAAAATGCCAACTTTTGATTCTGTGCTTTAGACTCTTCATATGAATATGTAAAATGAATGTTTTATAATCTTATTTTTTCCCCAATAAATGAATTAAAATATGACATGATTAGACCACATTTACCACCTCTTCTACTAGGTAGGGTGGAATCAATTTCCTTTCCTGTGTGCAATCTTATCCTTAAAGGGGAGAGAATCCTCTCTGTTCAGGGTAATAACAAACTTATTGGTTGAATAAAATCTACAAAGTTGTACCTCTGGGGATTATTGTTTACTCTTTTCCTCCTTTAACAACATCAACCTTTCATTTCTTTATCAATTTATTTAGCAAAAACAATAAAACTCCACAATGTTCTTTAGCCTATGAAATAATTTCTCTTTTAAGACAAAAAAAATCATGGTTCTGATTGGCTAAACACACAAATTAAACACTGCCTGAGTTACTATGTGCTGGGCCTCACAGTGCTACAGTGGAAGGAAAGTATGCTACAAAGAAGTAAAAGGGGAAAAAAAAGAAGTAAAAGAGAAAAACAAGATAATGCATACCCTACTTCAATATGTACAATTAAGTCATGTAAAATGTATGTTTTATATTCTTGTTTAACATTCATAAAGAAAATAATGGCTATAAATTTAACTGCATGCTATACATTCACATATTTGAATGATGGTGCCTAGTTACTGAGAACAACTTCTTAGAGGAAATGCAATATAATACTATATTAAGAACAAAGTAAAGAAATTAAAAATAATGAGTCTATTTTTTTTATTTTAAAATTTTTAATTAATTAATTTTTTTTGCAGTGCTGGGATCTAATCCAGGCCTCAAATACATTAGGAAAGCTCTCCACCTCAGTCTATTGTTGTAAGTTAACACAGAGGTTTTTAAACTTTCACTCCATGATCTTTCTTGTTATATTTCCATCCCCCTATATCTCAAAATGTTTTTGTGTTGTGTTCAATATCCTCATTAAAGCTTTAGAAAAATAAAAGTTCATAATTTACTAATTTCAGCAAAAACTTTTCTATACACACAAAGAACCAATTTTATCATCAATTTGCAAAACAGATACATAAAAGATATGCACGATTTATCAAAATATATAAAAAGTTTGTGAACAAAGAAGTTGTAAGAGAAATAGTCTATAAGTGAAGAAAATGACAGATTTGGTCTTACCAAATGTGCAAAATTTGTGTTTAAGAGAATAAATTCAAACATGTTCAAGAGAATAAATTAAAGATAACAATTATGTACAGTATATAATATTTGGTAAGATAATAAATGACTAGTATAACATAAATAGATAACATAAGGTATGTTACTAGTTTAGCATTTACCATACTATATTTCTTAATTTTTGGCGTATTTCAACTACTTACTTAAAAACAATTTTACTGTAAAAAGATATGTCATTATTATACTACCAGTAGTTTATTGCATCAGAGGCCACACTAAGTGACCTATACCATTCAAGGTTTGTGTAAGTACACTCAAGGATATTTATAGAATTAACAAAGTACCTAATTACACATTTCTCAGAAAGTGTCACATTAAGCAATATTTGGCTATAAGGAGTAGACAAGAAAGGAAAAGCAAATATCTTAAATGGTGCTTTCAAAGATGAGAATGCAACAAATTCAGCAAAAAAATATACTACAACCTGGAAGAACAGATCCAAAAAGATCAATACAAAGACATTCTGTGAATAAAGGAAATGCTAGTCATTATTTCTCAATCATTTTATATGATTCCCACAGACCCTCCCTCCTCCAAGAAATAGTATAGAATAAGATTTTGTCTGCCAGTTTTTTTTAAAACCACAAACCACTGTAATATCTAAGGTTTCATTCCCCTAATAACCAAGGTGTCACTACAACTGAGAATACATGCTACAGAAGAGAGTCATCTACAATAGGTGGGTCTCATGTTATCTCATGTCAGCATTCACTGTTAAAGATAAAAAATATTCCAAAAGGTGAAATGAATATATGGTTCTTACATCCATTATCTATCAATAACCTTATAGGACAAAAGAAGCATAAATACACAAGTAAAAATACAAAGTTGGGCTGGGGATGTGGCTCAAGCCGTAGCGCGCTTGCCTGGCATGCGTGCGGCCCTGGTTCGATCCTCAGCACCACAACAAACAAAGATGTTGTGTCTGCCGAAAATAAAAAATAAATATTAAAAAATTCTCCCTCTCTGTCTTAAAAAAAAATACAAAGTAAAGTAATGGAATGTAGTAATTGACTTGGTAGGTTTGAGAAAGCTGAAAATTAAATATCTACAAGAGAAAAGAACACAAAAGAACCAAGTCAATTTGTATGCAATGCTGGAGAAGCGAGGGAACCTAGCCCTAAGGGTGAAGACATGGGTGAGGCTGAAAATAAAACTGACTGAGCCATTCAAAGATGCAAGTAGGCACCTGAAATCCCACATGCCCATCCCAAGCATTGATGACTGCCTACTTAAGTCTGTGCAGTAACCAGAAGCTCCACTCTCCATCCCCTTGCAATATGAAATCATTTCTACACAGCATAGGGTGGACTCTTTAAAGAGAGTAGTGAAGGAGATAATGCAAAGCCTTCATAGTAAAAATAACTTCTTGACTCCCAGAAGGCTAGGACCCATACTTGCTCCTTCTAATCCCTTCTGTAAGAAGAATCAATCATCTATGGGAAAACTAATCCAAAAAAAAGCAGGGGATGGGGGTGTGTGAGGGGGTTGGGGGGAGTGTGGGGGGTGGGTGGGCATGAGTTAATGAGATTTGAAGGTTTCATACCCAGGCACTTTATGACCATAAAAGTTTTAAACTGTGAAGAAAAATTTACCTTTCAGAACTGGAAGATGTGCTTCACCAGAACAATAGAGTAACCAAAAGGGAAAAGAAGCAAAAAGATCTAGGACAAGAATGCAACAAAGGGATTTCTTAGGAAGACAATAAGAAAAAACACCAGCAGCAGAATTATGTAGAAAGCCCCCAAATCTAGATTAGAACAGTATGACAAGAAACATTACAAGAGATTTTTTTAGTTTGGGGGTGGGGGGGTGGAATGGAAAGACTAACTAACCATTGAATTATCTGCTGTTACTATCTTTTTTTTTTTCATTCATTTTAAGCATTTTTTTTTCACCTCAATGAACCTAATTATAATATTTGCTTTAAAATCCTTATCATATAATTCTTAATGTGTTTCATCTTGAGCTTGATATTTGTTGAAGTATTTTCCTTTGAGACTATAGCAATTTCCTGGCTTATTATTATATTGGATAATTTGGGGCTAATATTGGACATTATAAATGTTAGACTGTGAACTCTGGATTCTGTTATATTACTCTGAAAAAATGCTGGTTTTGTTTTGCTAGCAATTAACTTGCTTTGAATCAAATTGTCAAGTTCCATTACATGTTTAACTACTTTCAATCTGGCCATTTCACATAATTGCTGCCCTTGAGTCAGGTAGACTTGGACAAAGTTTTAAACTCAGAATTTGGGGTTCCTCTTCCCTAGCTCTCCCCTTTTTTTGAGGTTCCCTATCTCATTTTCCAACAGTCTTGGTTTTACCAGGTAACTTTCCCAGGTTCAGTTAGTTAGAAAAAGATGGTTAGTTGGTTTTTTTTTTTTTTTTTCATCTTGTTTTTTAGCAGCACTGGGGACTGAACTCTGTGGGGTCAGGGGGTGCTTTACCACTGAGCTATAGCTTCAGCTCTTTTGCTTTTTCATTTTGAGACAGGGTCTTGCTAAATTGCTGAGATTAGTTTCAAACTTGTGATCCTCCTGCCTCTCAGCTTCCAAATTCACTGGGATTATAGGCATGCACAACTACATTCAATTTTGCTGCTTTTTTTCCTGTTGGAGATTTGACTTTAATTCTCTCCCGTTTTCAAATATACTGCTAAAAACTAATGAAGGTCAAACACTTACAATTATCTAAGTTTAGCACCTACTCTTACACACAAAGTACTAAAATTTCTATGAACAAGACAGTTAAATAAATCTTATTAGATTCAGGCAACATGAATCAGTGTTCTAGATCACAATCGACAGAAACTGACTCTTGTTCACTTGAGAAATTTATTTTAAAAGAATCAGGCAGTTTTCATTGCTAAGAAATCTGAAGAACTGAAATTAGAAAATGGAAAGGAGCCAGGAGAGATTAGGTGACAAAACCCCACCCACAGGTATCATTTATATGGATAGAGCTGCTTCCCCTTCTGGACAAATGAAGTCACTACTGGCACTGCTTCTAATAGAAAGTAGATGCTGCTGTGCCAGCACTATCAGAATAAAAACTTTTTGTTCTCTGTTTCTTTGTTCTAGAATCAAAGTAAAGTTGGAGAGGGAAATAAGGAGGGAGGGAAGAGAAGACAG